TGTGAAATGGGCTCCCCAGCAAAATTTCTGGCTCATCCTGCCAAGGAGGATTCTGACATAATGGTTGGAATTCTACTTTGGAAAGTATATGTGAAGGGGTCCCCATGATTTGCCACCCTAGTTTTGGTGATCAGCAGGTGATTGCAAGATATGTTAGCGATGTTTGGAGAGTTGGATTGCATTTAGAGAAGAAGCTGGAGAAAGGGAGAGAGAAAGAGCAGTTAAAAATTAATCCTGGAGGATGGGGCCAGGAAATCAGAAACAGAACTATGGATTTAAGGAAAAGTGGATATTTCTCTAAGGCCAGGGGGTTCGGCATACAGGCTTTAGAGAACTTGGTTAATTGCATACAATCGTTCTAGTTTTCCAATCCCCCGCTCCTTGATTCGTGTGCTAGAATTTGTGTCACAACTCCAAATCAAATACTATAAAATCATTTTATTTGCCAGATTGGCTGATACATGTTTGAGAATGATGAAATCTTCTAGTTTTAACTCTGATCTCTTTGAAAATTGATGTACTTTATTTGAATTCTGCTTCCTATAATAGAAGACTGGATAAAGAAGGCAATTGCGTGGATTTCCATGTTATTTATTGGTAGCAAGGATTTTTCTATACTGTTCTTCTCCCTTGCAACACCAGCTTCTGTTCTTGGAAACATTTCTAACTGAACATACATGGATATTTCTCAAATTTGCCAAAACCTAAGACTTTTCGCAGATGCTTTGGTAATTGACATAGCATGGTGAACTGACGCAGAGCCGATCAGATTCAAATATGTTAATGGCAAAGTTGAAAATTCAGAAAACAAGAATTTTTTTCCCTAAAAACTAATAACACGACTGACACCCTATCAATTAAATTTATCATTTTTTCTTATTTTTTTAATTTTAATATGTTATTTAATATAAGATTACTCATAAATTAAAAAATTATAATAATATAAAATATAAACATTCTTTAAACGTTATTTAAAATTTCCAGTAACGATATATTTTTATTCAAATTCCTTACTGTTTTAATTCAGAGGAAAAATGAATATCCTTCAACTTTATTATTTCGGGTGTAAGCCACAGAGGAGGAAGAAGATGCTAGAGACAAAATTATGCAGTTAAAGAAGAAAGTGGATGTTTCTCTAAGGCAAGGAGGGTCTTCATATCAATCACTAGAGAGCTTGATTAGTTACATAGAATCATTCTAGTTTTTTCCAATCTTCTCTTCATTTCTTCTCAAATAAGTTATCGAATGTTACAAATGAACTTTAAAATTATGTTTCTTTGAAGTTTGTTCTAATAACTCATCGTAAGGTTGTGTGAGGGTAGGATTTGTTTCTACTGGGTTTGTGCTGAGAAACAGAAAACCTAATAGGGGGCAAGGAAGAGATTTGAACAAATGAGTTTGAAGTTTTTCAATTGTGATGTAACAAACACTGGTGTGGTGGCCATGGTTTGAATGTTTGAAACTTGATGCGTGATTTTTAATTTTCAGTTGTGTTTAATGTTGGTGGTGGGCCGTGGGCGTGACATTAACGGATTGGGCTTTTGGTGGGGAGGGATTTTTCCTATGGACCTATTGGTGGTCTTGAGCAAAAGCCCATTACAATCATGTGAATCTACCAATTTGATTCTTGGATCCTGCCATTCAAATTCAACCCACCAGTTAATTGAAAATCACTAGTCATGTGAATGTACCAATTAAATTTAATCTGCATTGGTATGGGGTTTCAGCTTTTGATTAGAGTAAAAGTACTTTTTCCACCCAAATAATTGTCTAATGACGCTTTCTCACCTAAAACTTTTTAAAATACAGTTTTATTATCCAAATAACGGTATAATAATTTCTATTAAATACAATGATATTTTATGAAGACAAAAATATCATTTAATATTTAATTAAATTAAATTACCAATTTGTCTCTAATGTTTTATATCAATGAACAACTGTTGAGATTTCAAAGCCGTCGTTGCTAGCATCTCTTGCCAACTTTTTATCGGGTTTCTTCACCTTTTCAATTGATCTCACCTCCCTCCACCTTCCACTTCTATTCCCAGCTGATTTGCCCCTTTTTGGCCTTTTTTCACTTTCCCATGAGTTTTTCCCCTCCCTCGTAGCTATCGGAAAAATCCAAATCTAGCTGGATTCTGATGCCAGTGGACATTAGCACCACCACCACTAGCTTCCCCCACTCATCCCCGACAAAACCCATCTATCTCCCAGCCTTGTTCGCCTCCATTTTGGTTGGATCTGAACCACCTCCCCGCCACCTGCATTTCCTTTTTCCTTTCTAAGGTAAACTTGGGTGGGACACGTGTCAACGCCCCAACCTACAATTATTCACACTTCAATTTTAAAATTTTGATTTTTGAAGCAAAATGTGAATTGTCCATCTTGCCCTTATCTATATCATACTAAAATTGTGTTGTAGGTAGAGATGGCAATGGCCCGACATTTTAGGGTACCTGGTCCAGCCCGAAAGGGGCGGGCTTTACCCGAGGTCGACGGGCTTAGGCTTGGGCTTGTACTTAATTTTAAGGCCCAACTTCGGGTACAAGCCGGGCATGGGTATATCCAAAAAAATTTAGTATTAATTTTATTAATTTACCCTTATTCTATATATTTAATTATAATATTATATATATTTATATATATATATATCCATTTTTCCCAAACTTTAACCTCAATTTTTATCTCATATTAAAGGTTTAACATGTTAAAATTGTCTTTAAATGAGTTAGATAAGTTTAGTTCAACTTATAAAGGTAGATTTCACCATAACATATTATACACAGCTGAAAAGTTAGTATAATCAAATATTATGGAGTTTTAATTGCTCACTTATTGCTTAAATTATTTGCGAAAATAGTTTCAATTAATATTTAAAAACTATTTCTAAAATTAAAAATATAAAACAATTTTGAAATTTATTAATATTTAAAAATAAACATTATTAAAAAAGGCGGGCTTGGGCTGGGCCTACAGTTATAAAAAATCCGTTGGGCTGGGTTTGGATTTTGCCGATCATACCTGTAACGGGCTCGGACTGGGCTTGAGATTATGTCATGAGGTCAGGGTTGGGCTTGGGCCAATGGGTACCTGGTCTTGGCCTGGGCCAATGGGTACCTGGTCTTGGCCTGGCTTAGCCCATTGTCATCACTAATTGTACTAATTGTAGGTAGTACAATTGTATTTTGAAATTTTTTGATTGAAAAAATATAGTAGATTATTATTTGGTGGAAAAAAAGTCTGTTTACTATTTTATTAATCAATTAATATACTTTATTATACAGTTCCCAATCCAAGACATCGGATGCTGCAACCTATTGTTTAGCAGTTTTATATCTGATTAAAATAATTTTTTGCTCTAATCTTGAATCTAGAACACCCACGTGTTCATTTTATTGAAAAATCTAAAAGAAAAACCATTGGCTCTCTAGCTGTCTTCTTCTTGTGCTTATTAACTCATGATTCCTTTAGTTTGTGATGGCCCGAGGAAGGAAAAGTTTTAACTTCTAGTAACACTTTTTTGCATTGGTTACAAGTTATGGCTTAATATAACAGAAATGAAACTTCAGATTTTTTTCACTGCCTTTTGGTCTACTAACTATTGAATTGTTCAAAGTCGGCTAACTGATATAACCTTTGGTCCAGTGATGCAAATTGTACTATTACTCCTTTGGTCCCCTGTGACAGAAATTGTAAATTGAAATGGATGAATTTCGCTCAGTTGCAAACTATGACATCATTGGCTGCATAACTCCTATCGTTATGCCTATAAAATCAGGATTGATATTAGCTTCCGTTAATAAACACTAATCAAAATTTAGAAAGACTTTGCACTGTCCAGAAGCTACCACGTCGCTTTATGACAGAAAGAATATGGATGTCATCAACTTGACAGATTCAAGTTTTCTCTATGAGTGATTGAGGGCCGCACACATATCAAAGCCCCAAGTAATTTGAGGATATTTTCTAAGTTAATAGTCAATAGGAGCGAAGGAAGGACTTGCACGATACCTACTCATTTGCAGATTTGTAATTATCACATTGAAGTCCTTTACTATAAATAGAGGATTCCCCTTCTCATTTTCGGGATTCTGATCATGAAATCTCATTCTGATTATAATATTTATTTTCAGAGCAAAGATAACCCACGAGAAAAAGACTGACTTGATATTCTCTCTGAATACTCAGTTATGTACCTCTGCTCACTATTCGTTATACGTGAATCTCTCATATATAAAAGAAACAGTGGACGTAGGATTCGCTTTAGGTATCCGAACCACTTTAAAAATCATATATCTCATTTATTATTCAGTCTTTGTATCTGATCATAATCATTCACTTATAATTTTTAAAAATAACTTAACACTTTACACGTACAAGTCATTAGTATCAAAATCAAGCATCAAACATGTATCAATTCATCCACCATCCTACGTTAAATTCTGAAAGAAAGGAATACACATTCTTCATCAATGGTGTTGTTCCGTAGCTTCAGGAACTATCCACACAAATTCCTGGGTTATGTAAGCATGGAATTTATTGCCGTCTCCTTCGATTTGTCATTATCAATAAGTGTAGTTGGTTGGCTAGTTAAATGTTAAACAATTAAGATACCTAAGCTGTTGCGTTTTGAGTTGTCTTACCTCTATAGAAAATGGATTGGAATTCTTCTTGTATGAACCTTATTGGAGACGTACTCAGTACTGATCATGTGATCACCTATCAGATGCCCTTTTGTTGTTTTTAGTGTTTGTATTTGTGCTGTACAATAAGAAGTTTACATTCACCAATAATGTTTTTTGTATGGTAATATTATGCGTACGGACGAATTTTATTAATCAACGTAATAACTTTTATTAAAATTACATATGGCATCTATATTATACATATGTTATCTTTAATATACTTTAGATTAGTACGCTGATTAGTAAAATTTACCATAATATTATTATTTTTACGTACGCTCCCTCACTATTTATTATCCATATGATGGGCTATCTTTAAAAGTTTAAATAAAGTGAGAAGTTGAGAAACAGGGTAGGTAACAAGATTCCATGGAGAACCAAATAGAGTCTCCTGTGCAACAAAGGAAAAAACGCAGAGTGATACTCTTTCCACTGCCTTTGCAAGGTCACATAAACCCCATGCTTCAGCTTGCAAATATTCTTTATGGCAAAGGCCTTTCCATAACAGTAATTCACACCAACTTCAACTCTCCAAACACTTCCAACTACCCTCACTTTGATTTCTGTTCAATCCCAGATGGCTTACTGGAAGTTGGAGCCTCAACGTCGGATGTCATAGCTCTTGTTACACTCCTGAATGTTAATTGTGTGGTGCCTTTTCGGGATTGCTTGGCTAAGTTGCTGTCAAATGTTGAGGAAGAGTCTATTGCTTGCCTAATCACAGATGCCGTCTGCCATTTCACTCAAGCTGTTGCTGATAGCCTTAAGCTTCCGAGGATAGTGTTACGAACCAGTAGTATCTCTTCCTTTCTTGCTTTTGCAGCCACTTCACTTCTACATGAAAAGGGTTTCTTCCCCATTAAAGGTAAATCTCAGTTTTTATTCCTCTTCATTTGTAGAAATCTTGCCCAGTCACCAGTTAGTACCTAAAAGAATACTAAAACTCTTGAAGTTACTAATAAGAAAGATATTTAAATTTCTCAAACTTTTAATTTGATTGTCTTTTATGATTTACATATTTAGGTTTTCATTTTCTGTCAGATCTTGGATCAGAAGCACCAATGCCAGAGTTTCCATCAATAAGAGTGAAAGACATTCCTTTGATTGAAACACGTGATGCAGAGAAATTTTATCAATTATTAATGAGCATGATGAGTCAGATCAAGGCCTCTTCAGGATTGATATGGAACTCCTTTCAGGACCTTGAGCAAGATGTACTGCCTACATTAGAGCGTGACTTTCGCATTCCAATATTCCCAATAGGCGCATTTCACAAGTATTTTCCAGCTTCTTCAAGCAGCTTACTTACCCAAGACAAAAGTTCAATTTCCTGGTTAGACAAACAAGCACCTAAATCAGTACTTTATGTAAGCTTTGGAAGCATTGCCGCCGTTAATGAGACTGAATTTTTGGAGATAGCTTGGGGGTTAGCCAATAGTGGGGTACCATTTTTGTGGGTGGTTCGGCCAGGATTAGTCCGTGGATTCGAATTGCTTGAACCACTGCCCAAAGGGTTCCTGGAAATGCTAGATGGAAGGGCACATATAGTGAAATGGGCTCCCCAACAAGAAGTGCTAGCTCATCCTGCTACAGGAGGATTTTGGACACATAATGGTTGGAATTCCACATTGGAAAGCATATGCGAAGGGGTACCAATGATTTGCCAGCCTTGTTTTGGTGATCAATTGGTGATTGCAAGATATGTCAGTCATATTTGGAGAGTTGGGTTGCACTTAGAAAAGAGGCTGGAAAGAGGGGAGATAGAAACAGCAATTAGAAGAGTAATCCTGGAGGCTGAGGGCCAGGAAATGAGAGACAGAATTATGCAGTTGAAGGAGAAAGTGGATGTTTCTCTAAGGCAAGGAGGTTCTTCATATCAATCACTAGAGAGCTTGATTAGTTACATAGAATCATTCTAGTTTTTTCCAATCTTATCTTCATTGCTTCTCAAATAAGTTATTCAATGTAATAATCAACTTTATGTGATGATGATAACAACTTTAATAAAACTTCAATTTATTGTAAAGTCGTGAGATTGTGTGAGGTTGGATTTGGTTTTTTTGGGTTTGTGCTGAGAAACAAAAAAATCTAAATGGAGGCAGGAGGCAGGTGGTGAGCGTGATATTAGTGGATTGGGCTTGTAGTGGAGAGGTATTTTCCAATATTGGTGTTTAGGAAAAGCCTATTTCCATTGAACCCACACATTCATTTTAATTCTAATTTTGGGGTTCCTATGTCAATCACTGCCTTTGACAAGATCTATGACAGCCCCCTCACCCTTTTTCCTCGTGACTCCCCTTTTTTTCTTTTTTGACCAGGCATCTCAATTAGTTCCTTAGGACTTTGAAGTAAATGATCAAGTAAATTATAATTGCTAATTTGAAACATTGTTCTTGGGAGCGACTTTGAGATAACTTTCAAATAGTATGGGATTTTTTAGAGAAAGAAATAACTCAGACTCATAACAGCCACTTAATTTTTGGTTACGGAATTGAGAATTAATATTTTTTGTTATATGTAGAATTCAATAATTTGTGTCACAGTAATTTGATCCTTTAGTGAAACATTGAAAAGAAAAAATATTGGCTCTCTAGCTGCTGCTGCTGCTTCTTCTTATTCTTCTTATCAAGTTAGCAACTGATAATTACTTTTGCGGTAGTCCAATGAAGAATGTTTCGTAATTACTTTTTTTTGTTTTTTAATTAGAGCATTTGGACCAACTTGTGCCGTAAATATTTTGGCAGCAACTCCTCATTTTTTGATAGATAATTTATGGAGTAATGTTAAATCTATAATTCAATCTTGCGACTTACTGTTACAACTTTCAACGTTGCGCCATTGATTAGACTTCGAGTGAATCATGCCACCCACGTAATTTATGGCATAATTTTAGCACACTACAGAATCAACTACAGTAAAAGCTTTCATTGACTTGACTTTCTGGACGGTAGTTCTATTTACATATCCGTTTCCAGAGTTGTTCTTTTAGTCTGTCAGATCTTGACCACCTAGAGTTCGTCAATTGACAAATATTTCTTTTCATAGCAAATTTTAGGGACAATAACATATTCCCACCCAAGGTTTGACAAAATAACACTTTCTCACCAATCAAGTTTCAAAATAGCATTTTTCCACCCTTTGTTAGGCATTGTTAGTATTTTTTATTAATATTTGATTGAAAATATGAAAATACTTTAAATAGTTTATTTCTTAATTAGTTTATTATAAATTAAAATTTAGTTAAGTCAAAGTCTTTTATTCGATAATTTATTAGTTCAAGTGTAAAAATACTTTTTTTTTCTTTGTTTATTTAATTAATTAGGAATATTGATTTTCTATGTTAATTAGTAAAAATGAAAAACATTATAAATTTAGTAGATTATTAAATAATAGTGATGAGATATTGATAGCATTATAAATAAATAAATATTAAGATAATTTAATTTTAAACAATTCCATAGCATTACTCTTAACTTTTTAGGTGGAGTTAATTTTTTTTTTTTTTGACTTTTTAATATTCGACTTTTTGCCTAATTAAAAAATTTATAAAGTCAAATATTTAAGGGTTTTTTTTTTTTTTTTTTTTACATTTTTAGCAAAATAATAACGAAAAATATAATAGAACCTAACGAAGGATGGAAAAGTATCGTTTTGCTAAACCTTGGCTGGGAAAATGTTCGTTCTTCCCAAATTTAAGAAGATTTCGTCTTTCCTTCTTAGGTAACAATAATTTGATATACCCTAACCCTTATAACATTTTTCAATTTATAAAAACTTACAATGTACTTCAAATTAAATAATGGGAAAAATGAAATTAATCATTTTTTTTCCATGCAATAATACTATACTTACAAAGAAATCTTATAAAGATTTCCATACAAAGTAAGGTAGCAAAAAATGAATGGAAGAGTGAAACAAAAAGTCAAACTCATTAAATTCACTCTTTCATTTATTTTTTACCACATCACTTTGTATGGAGATCTTTGTAAAATTTTTTTGTAAGTGTAGTATTACTCTTTTTCATGTATATAGAATTATTAATCATGTGAGTATGTGATTGCCTCCTTTGAGTACATATACCTTATCGTTAATGAAACAATATGTGGATGGTCTTTAATTTAGCTTAAAAACATGAAAAAGCTTTAATTTTGTATTCCAATAACATTTTTCACATCACTTTCCACATCAGTATTTTATTAAATATTNTTAAACTGCATAAGAAACAGCCATGTAGTTCTAGTATGATCATCTACCACAGTAAGGAAATACCTTGCATTACCTTGTGTTGATACCTTGTAGGGTCCCCAAACATCTAGATGCAATAAATCAAACACATTTGATGTAGTTGTCTCACTTAGACTAAAAGGTAATCGGGTTTGTTTGGCCAGGGGACAAACTTCACAATGAAACTTTTCTTGAACTGAAATTCCAGGATTTATAGTTTGCAAAATGGGTAATGGAGCATGCCCCAATTGTCTATGCCAAAGTAGAATATCTTTAATATTCAAAGACCTTTTTATTGATGAACCAATATGAGCATCAATAGAATTTGTAGAGTTACAAAATATCTCCTTATTACAATCAAATTTGCATATGCCTAATGCTTTTCTTAAAGCTGGAGCAAAAACATGTAAACAATCTTTTATTTTGGAGATAGGGATGAAATGATACAACCCTTGGCATAGCTTACCAATCCCCCTCAATTTGCCACTCCAAAGGTCTTAGATAATGCAAAAATTTGGATAAAAAGTGATGGACCAATGACTTGAAGATGTCAATTTAGATACTGACAGCAGATTGTATTTGAAATTAGGTAAATATAAGACTTTCTCAAGCAGTAAGTCTTCTTGTAAACGAACTGATCCAATATTCCTAATTGAAGTTTTACTGCCATTTGGGAGACCTATGAAGCTATTCATGGACGATTGACTAGCTATGGTAGATTCAAAATTGCGGAAGTCATGGGTCATATGGTCTGTGGCCCCTGAATCTAATATCCAATCATTCACATTATCAAGACTTGAACACAATGAGATGGTCTTACCTGCCAAATTGGCTGATGGTGTAATTAGATTCTCCTTTCCCAGCAGCTGCAGCAGTTGAGCATACTGTTTTGGTGTCAGTACATTTCCCAGGTTAGCCCCTCCTTTTGCACCATCAGTAGCAACTTCAGTATTCAACAATTGCGACTGTGATCCTTGCTCCAAACTTGTTTGAGCTTGGTTGGCTTTAGCTTTCATCCCAGATTTCCCCTTGGTAAATTGAAAATCAGCCGGGTACCCATGAAGTTTGTATTAGGTATCTCTCTTGTGTCCAGGTGCATGGCAGTAATCACATTCAATGAAAGGTTTTTTTCCTTTATATTTCGAATTTTGGCCTGAATTTCTTTGGTTGCCTTGTGAATATAATGCCATGGTAACTTCAGTAGCCTGATTCTGTCCTGTTAACACCTTTTGACTCTCATCCTGGCTTATTATAGAGTAAGCTTGATTCACAGATGGCAGAGGCACCATTAACAATATTTGACTTCGAACCATTCCATAAGAATCATTTAGTCCGATCAGAAATTGCAGTAGTTTCTGCTGATTCAGGTGAGCTAAATAAGCTTTGGCCGAGTCACTATTTGGCAGTGGTAAACTTACCAGCAAACTCAAGACTCTCAATTCATCCCATAGAGTCTTGAGTTTGTTATAATAAGCAGCCATCGAGTTTGTACCTTGCACCTGATTGGATATCTCTCTATGAATCCCAAACACTCTTGTTCCATTTATCTTGTTGTATTGCTCTTTCAAGTCCTACCAAACTTGATGAGCGCTGGTTGAATAGACGATACTATTGAAAATCTCCTTCGACACTGTAATAAAAATCCATGCAAGAACTAAGGAGTTATAGCGCTCCCATTGAGCATGCAACGATTGATCAAATTCGGACTTCTCACAAGATCCATCTACAAACCCTAGCTTATTTTTGGCTCTCAAAGAAACTGTCATGGCACGATTCCATATTCCATAATTCTCTATACCAGTGAGCTGTTCCGAGACCAAGATTGAAACAGGAGTGTCTGATGGATAAACGTAGAGAGGAGATCCACAATTAGTGATATTCGATATCTTAAATCTCAATTTTTATCTCTGCTAAAATTGGGTGAAATTGACGATTTGAATAAAAAATTGAAGAAGAAAGAAATCAAGATTGAGAAGAGCATCACTTCGGATTTGGGCTGGTTCTCTTTAAAATTGATTCAACGTTTAGAAGCCTGCTCTGATACCATGTTTTAATGGTGCCTAACTGACTTGCTAACTAACCACAACCGTAAGAACAATAACTCAAATACAATAATCCAAGACTTACACAGTTAGTTTTCAGTTTTATTAATTTTAATAATTTTTTTTATTTAAAACACTATTTCTAAAAATTTATTCATAATATAAAAATATATATTCTTTAATATATTATTTAAAATTTTAATAACATCATATTTCCTACACGGTTTTCATAAGTTATTTATTAGTTAAAAATTAATTTATAGTTTTCTTAAAAGTTGATTTGAAATTATTAGCTTTGATTTATTAAATTACTCATTTGAAAAATAAAATTATTATTCACTTTGGCCTTAGCGGTGTGAAACTTTTCTATTCCAAGTGGCTGGGTTTGAATGTCCCCATTTACATGGGTGTCCTCAGTTTCCAGAACCAAGATTTTTCTTTACTATTCCTTAGGTCCCAAGATTTTTCTTTACTGTTCTCGGTAGTAATAAAATAAAATACTTTTCCTCTAGAAAATGTTTCGTACTGAACATTTATGAATTAAGACCCGCATGATTGCAGCTTATTGATTTTTTATTTTATTTTACTAGAATCAGGGATTAATAACTTGAGAAACTGTACAGGGGATTCACTATTATTATAAAAACTACAGGGAGGAGTGATTTTGAAATTGTTGGAGCGGTTAAGTGTAATTTCACAAGTGTGGGGGTTTTGCATTTTTTAAATAAATTATGACATCACTGCATGCATCACTTCCGGTCAAATGACATTCTTCACCAGTGCAATTGCGACACGCCAGGTGTAATCTGCTGGGATGTCTGTCTCGCGGGAATTTCGTTTTGTGTACGCAACTTCCTCTTTAGCGGCGGTCTTCAATTTTCTTTTTCCTTTCTGCTTCTCATTCGTTTTCGTTTCATCAACTCTCGCTTTGCTTTTTTACACAATTCTCCAACAGAAACCCAACACCCTATAAATTGAGAAACAAAAATGCAGAAGATGAAGCAGGATTCCATGGAGTACCAAAGAGGGTCTAATATGCAACCAAGGAAAGGCTGCCGAGTGATACTCTTTCCAATGCCTTTGCAAGGTCACATAACTCCCATGCTTCAGCTGGCAAACATTCTCTATGACAAAGGCCTTTCAATCACCATAATTCACACCAACTTGAATTCTCCAAATGCTTCAAACTACCCTCATTTCAATTTTTACTCTATCCCAGATGGCTTGTCGGAAGATGAAGCCTCCACCTCGGATTACGTAGCTTTTATGACACTTCTCAATGTCAAGTGTGTGGAGCCATTTCAGGAGTGCTTGGCTAAGTTGCTGTCAAATGTTGAGGAGGAGCCTGTTGCCTGCTTAATCACAGATGCGATGTTGCATTTCACCCAAGGTGTTGCTGATAGCCTCAAGCTTCCAAGGATCGTGTTAAGAACAAGTAGTATTGCTTCTTTTCTTGTTTTTGCCGCCATTCCAGGACTTCTACGGGAGAGGGGTTACTACCCCATTCAAGGTGTACATCCTAATTTGCTCCTCTCTTCAGATTAGGAATTCGTATAATGATTCATTAGAAGAGATCTGCCCAGAGCATTTTAAGCAATTATGTTAAACAATTGATAATTTTTAGTTAAATTCAACCTTCGTGTAAAGGATAAAGATTATGGTTCTTATTATTTGACTCAATTTGAATTTTCAATTTCGTCCTTTTTTAAGATAAAAAAACTAATTTTTGATTTACTTCTGTTTACATCCTCTTTCAGACCTTCAATCGGAAGCACCAGTGCCAGAGTTTCCACCACTGAGAGTCAAAGACCTTCCTGAGACTAAAACAACTGATGATGAGACACGTAATCAGTTGTTATCACGCTTGGCTAGTCAGACCAAGGCCTCCGCAGGATTGATATGGAACTCCTGTCAGGAGCTTGAACAAGATGCAATCACAGCATTACAACAGGAATTTCGCATCCCAATATTCACAATAGGCCCATTCCACAAGTACTTTCCAGCTTATTCAAGCAGTTTACTATCCCAAGATCAGAGCTGCATTTCCTGGTTAGACAAACAAGCACCTAAATCAGTAATTTATGTAAGCTTTGGAAGCATTGTTGCCATTAATGAAGCTGAATTTTTGGAGATAGCGTGGGGACTAGCCAATAGTGGGGTGCCTTTCTTGTGGGTTGTTCGACCAGGATCTGTCCATGGAGCAGAATGGCTTGAAGCATTGCCAAAAGGGTTCCTTGAAATGCTAGATGGAAGAGGACATATAGTGAAATGGGCTCCCCAGCAAGAATTGCTTGCTCATCCTGCCACAGGAGGTTTCTGGACACACAATGGTTGGAATTCTACTTTGGAAAGTATATGTGAAGGGGTCCCCATGATTTGCCACCCTAGTTTTGGTGATCAACCGGTGATTGCAAGTTATGTTAGTTATGTTTGGAAGGTTGGGTTGCATTTAGAGAAGAAGCTGGAGAGGGGGGAGATAGAAAGAGCAATTAAAAAGTTAATCCTGGAAGCTGAGGGCCTGGAAATGAGAAAGAGAATTATGGATTTAAAGGAAAAAGTGGATCTTTCTCTAAAAGGAGGTTCTGCATATAAGTCTCTAGAGAGCTTTATTGGTTACATTCAATCGTTCTAGTTTTTCCAATCTCCTCTTAAAAGATTCTCCAAGTTTTTCAGTGTTTAGTGTGCCAAAGTGATGTACAATATATCCGAATTAATGTTTACGCGTTGTGATAATTTTAGTGATGTAATTTCAAGAAAATAAACTAAAAAATATTAAAAAGTAAATAAGCAGGATAATAGAATTTATTAACTCATTTCAAAGTGTCACATCCAAAATGAAGGAAATGGGCTGAATTTATAGTCATTCCCCACCGACTAACCTCTCATAAGGACTAGTTAGACAATAGTAAATCATGATACATGTATCTTCAAGTGAGGTTACGTGAGCTCTCTGCCAAATTGGTGGAAGTCTAGCACATACAACATATGTAACTCTCTTTGAAATTATAAAGGTAACAATTATTTAAAAATAATTTTATAAATAAATAAATTAAGACGCAATGGGATTAGTTGGCTCTGCTCTTGTCAATGCTCCGGAAATAGATAATTAATTCCGTGGCCTCAAGCATCTTGTTAAATAAAAAACAAGTATATTAACCGTCTGCAGAATTAAGTATAATATGCTGCTTTGTTGAGTTGTCTTATACCTAGAGAAATGGATTTGCAGGCTACTTAATTTGACTACCAACTATCAAATTTGGACCATATCTCTTTACAAGATTTTTTTGGTTAGTTTATTATTGTTTAGAGTCTTTAGACTTCGTAACAAGAATAATCTAAATAAATGGATAGAATTCCTTCAATAATGCATTAGACCTCTCAAGCTTCAGAAGCAGAAATAGGATTTCATGGAAATCCAAAGAGAATTGCAGGTGCAACAAAGGAAAGGTCGAAGAGTGATGCTCTTCCCACTGCCTTTGCAAGGCCACTTAAGTCCAATGCTTCAGCTTGCAAACATTCTCTATAACAAAGGCCTTTCCATCACCATAATCCACACCAACCTTAACTCTCCAAACCCTTCTAATTACCCTCACTTCGATTTCATCTCATTCCCAAATAGCTTTTCGGAGGTTGAAGCCTCCACCGCGGATGGCGTAGCTTTTATGACACGCCTGAATGTTAAGTTAGTGGAGCCATTTCGTGATTGCTTAGCTAAGTTGCTTTCAAATGTTGAGGAGGAGCTTTTTGCCTGCTTAATCACAGATGCTATGTTGTACTTCACTCAGGCTGTTGCTGATAGCCTTAAACTCCCAAGGATCGTGTTAAGAACAAGTAATATTTCTTCCTTTCTTGTTTTTGCAGCCATTCCAGGAGTTCTACGGGAAAAGGGTTACTACCCCACACAAGGTGTGTGCATCCTAATTTATAAGTCATATTTTCTGAAGATTTTAACAAGTTGTCTGTGTAGTTATTGACAATGGTAAAGTTAACTAGTTCCCAATTTTTATTTTTTTTTATTTTTTTTAAAATTTTTAATTTCAAATTTATAAATTTGAATCAACTCCACAGTCCTCTCCACTTTTGATGTGAGTTGGTTTATGTCAAGATCCCTTGTATAACCCCAAAAGATTCAATCAACTGAGAAGTAAATATTTGAATTAAAATCGTAGGCATAATATTCTAATTCTAGCATACTTGTTTGTCTAACCTTGAGTAAAGATTATTGTTATGATCATTTTACGCGAATTCTAATTTTATTTTAATCCAAAATTTGCTCGCATTATTCCGTTTCATCCTCTGTAATCAGATCCTCAATCAGAAGCACCAGTGCCAGAGTTTCCACCACTCAGAGTCAAAGACCTTCCTCAGAGCATAGCGCAATATCCAGATAAATTTTATCAATTTTTTACACGCTTGGTTAGTCAGACCAGGGCCTCTTCAGGGTTGATATGGAACTCCTGTCAAGCTTGAACAAGAAGCAGTGATCACATTACAAAAAGAATTTGGCATCCCAATATTCACAATAGGCCCATTTCACAAGTACTTTCCAGCTTTTTCAAGTAGCTTATTATCTCAAGATCAAAGCTGCATCTCCTGGTTAGACAAACAGGCACCTAAATCTGTAATTTCTGTAAGCTTTGGAAGTGTTGTTACTGTTAATGAGACTGAATTTTTGGAGATCGCTAGGGGACTAGCCAATAGCGAGGTGCCTTTCTTGTGGGTTTTTCGACCAGGCTCTGTCAACGGAGCAGAATGGCTTGAAACGTTGCCAAAAGGGTTGCTGGAAATGCTAGGTGGAAGAGGGCATATAGTGAAATGGGCCCCCCAGCAAGAAGTGCTGGCTCATCCTGCCACAGGAGGTTTCTGGACACACAATGGTTGGAATTCTACTTTGGAAAGTATATGTGAAGGCGTCCCCATGATTTGCCACCCTACTTTTGGTGATCAATCGGTGATTGCTAGAAATGTTAAGTCATATTTGGAGAGTTGGGTTGCATTTAGAGATGAGGCTGGAGAGGGAGGAGATAGCAAGAGCAATTAGAAGGATAATCCTGGAAGCCGAGGGCCTGGAAATGAGAGAGAGAATCAAATGTTTGAAGGAGCAAGTGGATATTTCTTTGAATGGAGGTTCTGCGTACAAGTCTCTAGAGAGCTTGATTACTTACATATAATCGTTCTAGTTTTTCCAATCTTGATTGATAATTTTACAAGTTTTTCACTGTCAAAATTCACTTACTGTTGATGATTGACCGGTAGAAAGTTACCTTTTTTAGATTGGAATAGACAGGACCGAGCCTAACTAAAATGCCACCAGGCAACAGCGGGGCAGTTCATCATTCTCAAATTAACGTCACATTTATTGCTCCACATGATGCCAACTGTCATATTAATAAGCAAAACCTTTGCTTTTTTTTTTTTCTGAAAATAATGAAGCAGTGTTATAAATCTATAGTTTACATAGAGGAAGGTACATCAAAATCTTGTTTTTATTCTTGAACGTTGAAGAAATCCTTAGGCCTGCTCACAAATAATAGGATAAAGATATTAAGTAAGATTAACTATTGCAGCAGCGCTTGAGTTGTTAGTATTGTGACACTCTAATCAACTGTAAATCCTCAATCAATCGATGCAAATTACACGATGAAAACCCACCATCACGAACACATTTCTTTGCCAACTTAGCCATCCTGTCTGTTGATTTCACAAACTCCTCCCTTCTCTCCACTATCAGATCATAAATCATCTTCTCAACAATCTTTCTATCACACATCCTTCGTATCAACCCCAATTTTCCAAACCTCACTAACAAACCTACTATTTACCTGTTGCTTAGTTATACATGGCAACTGTTGGAGTGTGAACACTTTTTTGGTAGAAAATGAAAGTGTAGTGGCTGAAGGAAAAATATGCTGCAGCAAATGAATGGAACTCAATCATGAGTTTGTCTACAAGATAAAGATTGACAACAAAGAAGATTGCAAGAAGGGCAGAAATGCAAAGACAAAAGTTCTCCGCGGTGTGCGTCGTGACATGCAGCATACAGTGTGCAATAAGTGATATGCGTTGTGCGACCTGCGGTATGATCTAAGAATTTCAGTTTTAGATAAAATCAAATAGAAGTTATTTTCAGTTTTATTATTTTGTAAGTTCTTTGTAACTGTTATGTTTCAATTATTTTGAGTGATCCCTGTAAACATATAAGAGGGAATGTATGGTATACCTTATATTGAGAGAGATTAATGAATAAACTTTCTCTCCTTGTTTCATAAGTTCATCTTCTCAATATTATTGTTGATGAGCAGAACAGGTAAATTCCGGAAAACATTTGAACTCTGAGTTACTATATTCAAAGTCCAATATCCTGTCTGAATTACCTGGCTTGGTTTAAGAGAGGTGGTTGCTATTTCTGCTAAAGGGATGAAAAATATCGGTGTTGCTTTCAAATATCAAAGCCGTCTAGTTGTGATTTCATGAAACCTGGTACTTGTTAGGAACTTTTATCAGTCCGAAATGGCAAGAAAATTCTGGGATTAAGGCTTATGAGAATGCAGGCTAATGTATCTACCTTATGTCATTTATTTGACTGCTAATATATAATGGGAACCCAGAAACTTTAGCCCATACCTATTTCTAAATAATAACCAAAAACAAAAAAAAATGCAAAATGTATTAAGGAAGGGTAAAGTCTTATTAATTCCTGTCAAAAGAAAATCGCCTGCATGTGTGATTTCAAGAATACAGAAACCAGCCCAGAAACTATAAGCACTTGCATTATGAAAATGAATGAAGGGAGCAATTTAAACTCATTAGCTGCTTTTTATTTAACATTATTGCGTATATAGTCAACAATTCTCATCCTCTGTTATTTATCAATAGAGGTTGATATGATCAATCTTTGTCATTTATTACATGGTCCAAACTTCTGTTTGGAGGGTTCACATTCATTGACACTTTCACTAGCGAAAGTAGAAACTATACAGTAGATTTCAATTACTTTAAGATAAGGATTGACTCACAACCTAATCTTATAAATTTTTTCTCACAACTCTAACATGACAGTTTGCAAATGGACGGACAAAACCTATTTACAAACTGCTAAGCCGAAATTATGAGAGATAATCTATGAGATTGAATTGTAAGTGTAATATTACCATTACTTTATTCGTCCAAAACCATCAAGCGTAGATCTTCTATCAAATGGTTCAAATTACTAGATGAAGACCCACCATCACTGACGCACATCTTTGCCAACATAGCCATCCTGTCTATTGATTTCACAAACTCCTCTCTCCGCTCCACCATCACTTCATAAATCATCTTCTCAACAATCTTTCTATCACACACATCTTTCATATCAACCCCAATTTTCCACACCTCACTCACAAACCTACTATTCACCTGTTGATCGAAAAAACATGGCCAACAAATCATGGGAACCCGGGCTACTAAACTCTCTATAGTTGAGTTCCAGCCATTATGGGTCATGAACCCACCCACAGATTTGTGGGCCAAGACCTCCTCTTGTGGAGCCCAACTTACAATATATCCTCTCTCCTTCGTCCCCTCCTCAAGCTCCCTTGGCCTTTCACCCTCATCTATGGCAACAAAATCCGGCCTAATAACCCACAAAAACCTCTGTTTACTGTTAACAAGGCCATACCAGAACTCCATGAACTGTTCTCTTGTTAATAACACAAGACTGCCGAAGCTCACGTAGACTACAGATTGCGGAGGCTGTCTATCAAGCCATGCCATGCAACTTTTATCTACTTCCCAGAGACTGTTTGAAGATTGAGATGGCATTATGCTATTCGGGGAGGAGACTTTGGTTTGAAGGTGCAAATGGAGAGGTCCAATGGCGTAGATTTTGGGGTACTTAGTGTGTATATGTGATAGTATAGGCGCTTCTAAGTCTTCAAAAGTGTTGAGTATCAGAGCATTGGCTTCACTGGACTTCAGAATCCAATCCATAAACTGTTGGAAGATCAGGTCGTTTATGTCATTGGGTCGGCAAAGGCTGGGGAGATCTCGGCCGCGGAGAAAAGTTTCCATGCCTGGCACTGTTGTTATCAGACTATCCAAGTCTTCGTATCCTTCAGTTATTAATGGAGCTAACTTAAATTAGGACTCGATGTTGACTAATAAGCAAGAATTTTTCATGTAAATTTACTTCTAAAAAATGAAAAAAGAAAAAAATTAACTGATCAACAATAAATAACCCTCATGATGCCAAGCAGAAACACAACATATATTTAGTAATGGAAGGTCGAGTTCTGTACGATAGTACCTTTCAAAGGTAGCTCCCCTGCTTCGATAATATCAGGAGTACATAAACTTGTCCAGTAGGAACAAGCACTTGCAATATAGAAATGTATGAGTGGAATTTTAAGCTCCTTAGCTACGTCACTGACAAACCCCAAAACTGGATCACCGATGATGCAGCTCACTGGCGGCCTAAGATCAATCAGCATCTCTTCCAGAGCTTTCCTGGAACTTGAATTCAAGGAATCAAAAATCTCCGTCCCACGGTCGATTGTTCGTGGGTGATCATCTGGGAGACCATCGGAGAAGGTCTTGAAGTGGAATCCAGGATACTGAGCAAAACGGGCTTGAATATCAGTGTAACGGAGGAGGCGTTTGTGGTTGTGGCCGGAGTTTAGAAAGGTGATATAGAGGCCTGCTAGGCATAGGTGCTGGGCAAGCTGCAACATGGGGTTTATATGGCCTTGGAACGGGAAAGGAAAGATCACTACATGAGGAGAGTGTGACTTTTCTTCCATTGTAGGATATTCTAGAGATTGATAGCATGAGTTGATGCTGGATTTTGGCACCAACGAATTGTCACGTGCGTAACGCTGATTGGCCAATAAATACACGTGATAATAAATGTAGAAAGTGAAATAAATGCAAAGAAATCTTTTAAAGTGGTTCGGATGCTAAGGTAGCAAGTCCTACGTCCACTGATTTGTATTGATATTAGTGTGGGTCAGATCGCAATAGCGGACTGACTTACAGAAGAGTTATGAAAAGTAAATATGTTTACAGGAGAGAGAGAGTTTTCTCAATGTAAAAATGGCCGAATCCCCTTAATGAAGGGGTCTTCTTCATTTTATATCAAACTGAAGCATATAATCATCATTAAATCCATGGGTTGGTGTGATTGTCAGGATATAATCTGGCTTTATGTCACATTGCTCTCTTCCCAAGCTGATTTCGCATGATTTATTGCAGGGGAAAAGGACACGTGTGAACTCCATACATTTGATAGATCTGACGTGTGCGTGTTGCTCTGACGGGAGCAGGTCACTCTTCACGTAACTTTCCCACGTCAGTCCTTATTTTTCCAGGCATAACAAGAGTACTTGAATAACTTTCTTAATTAACGTCTGAACAGAAACGTTGTAACTTCAGTTTCTATAGAAAATTAAAAAATATAATTAAAAGAAAGCACTAAACAGAAGAAAGGGAAATTCCTGTTTAAATCGAAAATTCTGGGACCCCAAAGGAAATTAAACGCAGAAGTTACAATTATGGGCCCACCCTCAATTAGTTTTTTTAAACACTAATATATATAATTTCTGGATTTTGGTCCATGCTAACAAAAATATTAATGAAAAAAAATGTTAAGAATTAATGGACACTTGAACTAACTACTCTAGAGGATGATTCATGAGACCATCTTTTATAATTGGGAGGTTAAGAACAGTAAAAAATTAGAAGTTACTGATGATGATTTAAAGCAATACTGACCTTCCAAAACCTGGTTAAAATTAAGAGTCATTTCCCTTCATTGTCAGCAAACAGAGAAATGATATAGAAAAGTTTAAATCATATTTTTGTCCTCACAGTAATTTTCATATTTAATATAACCTTTTCGATCGTAATGTGGAAGGAAGGTACTTTTAAATTAAACAGATAGAGAGGGTACAAAAACATGAGATATCAAAGTTCATGAGAACTAATTTCAAAATCAAACCTCTTTTTTTCAATTTGTAGCAGCAGCTTCATATTTCTTCTCCATTATGAATCAGTTTGTTTGATTTGACTAATGAAAATGCCCCAAACTGGGACCATGCTATCTATAGCCACGTTCAGCTTCAATGTGCTTGTGGACTCCTATCCCTTATGTGATTTATCAGATGCTTCAAATTGCAGCACGAAGATCCACCTTCATTGATACTTCTTCTAGCCAAAGCAGCTTTTAAATCAAGAAAGCACGTTTACGGGGAAGAATGTTTAAAGTTAATTAGGATGAATTTGTGTTTGTGTTTGTGTGTGTGTGTGTTTTTTTTTTTTTTTTTTTAAATCACAGAGGTTGATTAAAGGAGAGGAGCTGTAGTAAGTTCATGAGGAGGTTCAGGTTGCCACTTGCCAAAAAACAGCTAAGATGGATCAGATAAAAGCCAGAATGGAGAATGGTATGAAAAGAAGAAACCTAAGGTTAAGGCTAAGTAAGATGTTGAAACGTGAGACCAAAACATATACAAAAGTGCAGTATTCAATCCAAGCAAAGCAAACTCACATGCAATAATCAATAACGCAAAATAAGGACAGAAAATAAAGAACACCAGATTTATAGTGGTTCGGTAATCTATTAGATTATTTACATCCACTCTTCAGAGCAAAAAGAAATATTCACTATGAGATATGAGAAACCTTACAGAGATTAGGCTCACTCTTTTACACAAGGCACAACCCAAGTAAAAAACCCCTCTGTACAAACACTCGTACACCCAGATGCTCTCACCACTGACATCATCAAATAAGCAGAATTAGTGACAGATTTATACAACAAAATAAGGTAAAACAGATAGTACAGCTAAGCCTACCACCACCGTTTGATTCCATCAACGTTCTTTAGATTTCTAGTATAGTAGATTCTAACAACTTTCTCTCTCGTCTGTTAACCAAGAGAGAAAGATCGAGAATGAGATTGCACAAAACCTAATTTGCATTAGGTTTATTGAAGATACAGAAAAAGACAAAACTGCCCCTTAAGTCTTTAACAAATAACTTTGACCACCCAACTTATAAGTTGACTTCCGCGTGTGTACAGATCAATTGCCACATCACAACATAAGAGAAATAGATTGAGGATCTTAGAAACAAAAACTACGAGAAATCTATTTCATGAGAACATTCTTGTTATGCCTCAAAAGTCACGCTTATGTCAGCCTAATAAATGTGCTGCCAAACCCACATCTCCTCAAAGATATTCACACCAACCCTGTCTCATTTCAAAGAAATGAATGGATGAGAGCCTTCCATGTGTCAAGTCAACTTGCAAAACACTCATTACATTGAGTGTTTAGGTGTATAAATGGGCTGAGATTTGAGCTTCATTTCATTCTCTCTTTGTAAACACTGTATTTCTTCGTCTTTGTATGCTTTATGGGCAAAATCATAGAAATAGTCAGAGATCAATAAAATTAACGTGGATGTAGGAGTCGCTTGTTGCATCCGAACCACTATAAAAACCTCTCTTGCCAATCTTTTATTTATGTTTTCTGCAACATATATAATCTCAATATTCAAATCTCATGGATCCATTCACGTGTGTCTCCTGAGTCAGCTCAGCGTTTCCCATGTGCGAGTCATTGGCGTCCAAAATCAAGCGTCAACAGTTTGGTGGCCCATGCAGGTCCGATTCTCAAGCTTGCGTCCAAGTTCCGTGATGGCGTGCTCAGATCTCAAACCTGCGTCAGAATTCTCCAATCGTGTGGCCAGATCGCAGATCGCACACGTTAGAATTCTCCAATAGCGTGGCCAGATCGTACGCGTCAGAGTTTTCCGATCGCGTGGCCAGATCACAGATCGCACGCCCATGCCGTTCTGATCCTCGGCTTTAGATCGCTGATCTTTAGCTTCAAATCGCGTGTTCAGATCGATGATCACACGCTGAGATCGCTGATCTCTTGTGCTCTTAGGTAGAGCTCGTTATGATCTCTCAAGTTGAGCTCGTTATGACCTTTTCAGGTCGAGCTTGTTTTGACCTCTCAGATTGAGCTCGTTTTGCTCATTGAGGTCGTTTTGAACTCTCAGGTCGGGGTCGTTTTGACCTCTCAGGTTTAGCTCGTTTTGCTCTCAAGTTGAGCTCGTTTTGACCTCTCAGGTCGAGGTTATTTTGCTCTCAAGTTGAGCTCGTTATGACCTCTCAGGTCGAGCTCTTAACAGATATCAGGTCATTCTCCTAACAGATTTCAGGTCGTTCTCCTAACAGATTTCAGTTTGAGACTGCAGCCATTCAGATCAAAGACTTGAGTTTTTAAAGTGCGATTACGCACTTCAAAAACTGGGGGGCTTCTGTTATGCCTCAAAAGTCACGCTTATGTCAGCCTAATAAATATGCTGCCAAGCCCATATCTCCTCAAAAATATTTACACCAACCCTGTCTTATTTCAAAGAAATGAATGAATGAGAGTCTTCCATGTGTCAAGTCAATTTGCAAAACACTCATTACATTGAGTGTTTAGGTGTATAAATGGGCTGAGATTTGAGCTTCATTTCATTCTCTCTCTGTAAACACTGTATTTCTTCATCTTTGTATGCCTTACGGGCAAAATCATAGAAATAGTGAGAGATCAATAAAATTACAGTGGATGTAGGAGTCGCTTGTTGCATCCGAACCACTATAAAAACCTCTCTTGCCAATCTTTTATTTATGTTTTCTGCAACATATATAATCTCAGCTCCATATTCAAATCTCATGGATCCATTCACTGTGTCTCCGAGTCAACTCAGCCTTTCCCACGTTTGAGTCGTTGGCGTTCAAAATCAAGCGCCAACAATTCTGATGATCAAATACACTCTTCATGAGAATGGCGTGCGATCTGTGATCTGCATTGTGCGACCTGCAGCATGATCCAAGAATTTCAGTTTTAGATAAAATCAAATAGAAGTTATTTTCTGTTTTATTTTTGTAAGTTTTTTGTAACTGTTATTTTTAAGTTATTTTGACTGATCCTTTAAACATATAAAGGAAGAATGGTTTTTGTTAGGCCAAAAATCGTCTTGGGCTGTGACGGGGCCCAATAACGAAATACATGTCACGGCCCAAGGCCTCAACCCAATCCCGATTGGGCCCACGCTTAAAATCACCTTGCGACCTACCTACTCTATAAGTTGGGCTATCCTATAAGTTAAACTAAACTGGGTTTCAGCCCATTAGCCTGCAACAGAGTAAATATGAAAGAATCTCATTCTATTTCCTCTCTACTAAGATTTCAAATCTCACTCAAACTATTATTTGATCTGATAAGGTCAAGAATCATATCTCTTTCATGATGGGATTATCTCCCAAATAGGACTTAGTGTCCTACTAAGATTCCAACTCTTATTAAACTATTAAACTTAATCTGATAAGGTCAAGAATCATATCTCTTTCATGATAGGGATTATCTCCCAAAATAGGACTTAGTGTCCTACTAAGATTCCAACTCTTATTTAAACTATTAAACTTAATCTGATAAGTTTAAGAAATCATATCTCTTTTATGATAGGGATTATCTCCCAAAAGAGGACTCAATGTCCTACTAGGATTTCAACCCCTTAGGTTTACTATAAAAACAGAGGCTTCCCTCTCATTAAGCATGCATCTCTCACAGTCAATCTACACCACTCAAAACCATCTATTTGCTCCTAAGTTCTTGCTCCCAGAACCCGACGCCTCAACCGTAGTCCTAGCCTCCGACAAGACTCCTGTAATTCTTTTTCTCCTTATTCTTATTAAATCTCTTTCAGCCTTGCTGACTTGAGCGTCGGAGTGCCTACGGCAAACACC